CCAATCAGGAGTCAGCTTCCCAAACCCTGACAGAGCTATCTACAGCTCTGGCTCTGACTATTTATTACGTTTACATATCAGTAACGAGTAACGATTCAGCATGTAAAAGTGAAAGTATTAAATCAATCTAAAATATGTAAGGAGTAAAAGTAAAAGTAGGGAAAACACTATATACTCCAATAAAGTACAGATACTGCATTTTGGGAATGTGACTAGTAGCTTTCTGAGATGGAAACAAAACTTTACAGTCTATAAGAAATCGGAAGAAAACGATGTGCTAACCATAGCCCTGACCCAAATCCTAGCCCTGACCCTAACCCTAACCCTGACCCAAACCCTAGCCCTGACCCAAACCCTAGCCCTGAACCCTAATCCTAAACCTAACCATAAACCTAACCCTAAACCTAACCCAGACCCTAACCCAGCAACGAGTAACGATTCAGCCCATAAATGTATTAAATTAATAAAAAATATGTAGTAAATTAAAGTAGGGAAAAAAATATATACTCCAATAAAGTACAGATACTGAATTTTGGTATTTAAGTGTTTTTACTTCGTTACTGTACATATCTGATCATAAACCCCTTTTTAAAAGTCATTTTTCTGCATTTAAAAACAAAAAACACACTAACAAAGCCTCCCTTGACAAAGCAATTTTGTTCAGCATAGCACGGTACGCAGGTTTCAGTTCTGCTACCATAATGCTGAACAGGACAAGGTAAAAATAAATAAATAAATAAATAAATAAAACCTTTAACTTCCCCCCCCTCTGGGTTTTCTGCAGTGAGGAGGAGCCCCTGGCTGTTGTCGGCTCCCCCTACTGGATGGCGCCGGAAGTGCTGAGAGGAGAAGTTTATAATGAAAAGGTAAAGACGGATGGGCTCAAAGTCCAGTGTGGAGCCGGGGACGGTTAATAAAACCATAAATGTGTCAGAGGGAAGAGGGACAGTTATGTAAGGGTGTGTTTACAGGCCCGGGTAGAAAGTGTTTTTACTCCGGAGCTGCTGGGAAATGAAACGAACAACAAACGCTGATGGTTCAAACCTTTAGGTGGACTTTAAGGAAACAGGATCAAAGCAAACCAATGTCAAAATAGAGAATATTTTAATTGGTTTATTATTTTTTATATTGTTTAGATGTTCAGACAATGATCATAGTGAGTGAAGACAGACACATTTAATCAGTAATTCTTCCTGTTTCTTTTTGTTTTTTTTATATTAATATTGTAACGTTTTGTAAATGAAATTTAAAGAGAGATCAAAAGCAATCATCTCAATTTTTCCTTTAAAGTTAAAGGACACTCTATTTAGGTGGACTTTAAGGAAACTGCATCAAAGCAAACCAGATGTCAAAATAGGGAATATTTTAATTAGTATTTGTTATATTGTTTAGATGTTCAGATGCTGATCAGAAAGTGAAGACAGACTAATTTAATCAGTAATTCTTCCTGGTTTATTTTTTTTTTTTT